TGGAGCCTCTGGGACTACATGGCAGAGCTCCTCCCCTGCCCCGCCCCAATAGCTGTCCTGCCTGGCCCCAGCATCCTGGCAATTTAATAAAAATTAAGCCCCAGACTCATCGACTGCAGCAGTGGTGATCAGGGGCCTCTGAGGGCTCGTGGCAGAGCCTCCCTGTACAGCACCCCAGTTGTGTTGTTGTGTTTCCTCCCACCCCCCCTCCCCGCCTGGCACCCATGCAGCAGCAACTACCGTATGGCACAGGTGCAGTGTGGCTTAGCAAGGCACTACGCTGAGTGATGCATCCGATGAATACTCTAAAATACATTCCTGGCTTTTCATTGCTTCTTTCCTCTGACTTAAAGTAACACAAGCTCTTTCATAGGAGCAACTCCATTTACACTGGTAAAATCTCTTTTGGTAAGTTAGTATGATATGCAGGTTTGATGGGTACTTAAAGACTATGGAACTTGTTTCCAATATCTCCTTAACTGGTAATATCTGCTGTTCACTAAACTTTACTTTTATGTACATGACTTCACTAAATTCTTTAATATATCTCTATTATTTACAACTGTTCATAGATTTCTAGGGTTGGAAGGGACCTTGTAGATCATAGAGTCCGAACCCTTGTTCTAGGCAGGAAATAGCGCTGGGGTTAAGTAACCCCAGCCAGCTGCTTGAATAATCTCTTTTTGAACACCTCCAAGGTAAGGGAAAGCACCTCTTCTCTTGGAAGCCCGTTCCATATTTTGGCAACCCTCACCGTAAAGAATTTCTTCCTGATGTCCAATCTAAATCTACTCTCCTTTAGTTTGTGGCCATTATTTCTAGTAACTTTGAGGGACGCCTTGGTAAACAGAGTATCCCCTATTCCCTGCTGACCCACCCCCCCGATGAGTTTGTAGACAGCCACAAGATCACCTCTCAGCCTTCTCTTGTAGAGGCTAAACAGGTTCAGGTCCCTCAGTCTGTCTTTTGCAGGCCCTCAAACATACGAGTAGCCCTTCTCTGAACCCCATGGCTGCCCTGCAAGGTTATTCACATTCCTCTTGAAGTGCGGCACCCAAAATTGGATGCAATACTCCAGCTGTGGTCTCGCCAATGCCGCATAAAGGGGAAGTATCACCTTCTTAGACCTGCTCATGATGCACCTACTAATGCAAGAAAGAGTGCGGTTAGCCTTGCTTATTACCTCGTCACATTGGCAAATCATGTTCATTTTTGCGTTGCCTATGACTCCGAGATCCCTTTCCACTGCCATGGTACTCAGAATGGTACTTCCCAGTCTGTAGGTGTATTGGAGACTCTTTCTCCGCAAGTGCATTACCTTGCATTTATCCTTGTTAAATTGCATCCTATTCTGATGTGCCCACTTCCCCTGTTTTCAAATTTATATTTAGAAGATTAGAATAATCTTCAATTTTTTTAACAGCTTGAATGCTTTTTTGTTCTTAGGGGAATAGAGCTTACCTGTAATGTCTGCAGTAGTTGTTTCAGTTTGACATTTAACGTGTAACTGCGTTGGAAATGTCACCTCCCTGATATACTGCCTGTATAAGAGAACATTTGCTCTGTTAATAAGCGTTTCCATAAAAACCTTATGCTATTTTATATCCTTATTTTGGAAAATGAGTAACCACAGTGTATATTTGTTCTGGCTTATAGTTCAAAGAAATATTTTTAATTATTTCCTGTGAAATGTATATTGACAGCAAACCAGCTACCAAACTCCCAAGCCCTGTACAGCAGATATGGGTCAGGTCACACCCCGTCCCCTCACCACTACAGCTGGATGAGGCCAGGTCACACCCTTTTCCCTTGGCAGGTTGGGGCTGGCTCAGGCTCCTCCTCTCCACCCCTGCAGAGCCAGATTAAGTCCCCTTCCCCCATTGGGCTGGGCCTACACCCCTTTTCCACCGTGAGGCTGGGTTGGAGCTTGGTCATGCCTCCTCCCCCTGTGGGGTTGGGTTGGGGCTAGACCATGCCCCTTTTCCACCTGAACCATGCCCTCTTCCTCCCCTGAAGGGCCAGGTTGGACCTGGGCTGTCCCTTGGCCCTGCACAGCTGAATGGGGCTCTGCTGCAACTGCCTTGTTCTGCATAGGGACCACCAGCCGGATCTGGCCTGCAGGCAGCCTGGGCACCTCCCATCCAGCCTGCTGGCCAAAAAGGTTGAGCACCACAGTTCTAAGTGGTAAAATGCAATGAAAATTGAGTGTGCTAGATCACAGGTGTACTTCATTTTGACAGGTATAATTTAATTAGATTATTCTTCATATGCTAGTAAAGGTACTTCAGTAGTTTTGCAAACATTGTGCAAACTTAGTAATATGAGACCTCATGAGAACACTGTACTTCTAACTGCAGTGCTTTTTATGGGAGTAGTGAGGCCTAGGGATAATCAAATGAAAATAGGCAGGGTTCTTTATTAATTTGCTTTCATGTAACCTAAGGGTGGCAACATGAGGCCCATGGGCTGGATATAGCTCGTGGAGCCATTGGATCCAGCCTGCAGAGCTGGGCATCTTTGGGGATAGCTAGGGTTGCATTGTATGCACATGAGTGGGGTGGAGCCAGGGCGCTCACACATTGAAGAGGTGTGCCAGGGCTGTGTGACTGGTAGTTATGCTAGGGCTGCAGCTGGGATCCAGGGAGCGGTGGAAGCAGGGAGAAGCCATTGCCATGGCAGCCAGGTTGCAACACCAACCTGTCTCAGACGTGAGCTTGGTTGTTTTGGCCCACAGCTCCAAAAGGTTGCTGATATAGACCATATCAACATTATTACTAAGCACAGAATTTAATTTATACTTACTTATTTCTCTTGGAAATTTTCTAGCATCTTGTTAATTACAGGTTTGTTATTTCTTGTGCAACTTTTTGTTATTCCTTTAAAATAGGAAGAATGACATTTGAAAGCAGAAACTAGCCATTTTACCTTGCATTGATTTCCACCCCTCACCCCAGTAAATTATCAAAGCCAAATTACTCTTTAATACTATTTAGAAAAATCTGTTCAAAAATCTGTTCTTACTTGGAACACTTGACAAATAGTACTCCTAAACATCTCAGACATAGAATTGTGTAATTTATAGGTCCTGAACTCAAATTAATTTCTGATCCTTTTATTTCCTTTGAAAACGACATAAAACAATTTTATGCTATTTCACCAGCTGTAACAATTGAGAACCTAAATCTCATTCTTAAATATGTACAATCTTAACCATTTTCTAGTAGTCAATTGGAATCGAAAAATAGCATATCTTTCCCTTTTATTCTGAGTCAACAGCTGCAGATTTTTTACATTATTCAGGCAGTTCCTGCTGTCCTTTAAACCAGGGGTTTTCAGCCTTTTTAAGGAGTGTACCTCTTTTGGTGGTGGCAGCTGGATGCGGAGCAGGGGGGTAGCAGTGGTCTCATGGTGGTAGCCGGTTGCATGTGTGACTGGGCTGCTGACTGGCCTTGGACCCTTACGCTTGGCCAATCGCATGCCGCCTGTCAACAGCCTGCAGAGCCACATGTGCAACATGCAGCAGTGGCGCAAGGTAGTGGATGGTCTCTGGCCAGCCAGGCAGCACCTGTGTGGCCGGCAGAGGGGAGCCACTGCTCCCTCTTCCTTCCCCCGCCCCCCATGGCCCTGCTTCTGGGAGCGGATGGCATGGGGTAGTGGGCAGCGCTTCATCCCTGCCTGCCCATGCATACCCCCTAGCATCTTTCCAAGTATCCCTGGCTATATACATACCCCCAGTCGACAATCCCTGCTTTAAAAAATGGATTCTGTGCTTTGTTCATTCGGTGTAATCTTAATAGCTAAATAATTTGTTAATGTCTGTCTTTTTATAGTGATGTACTGAAAGCATTTGCAGTATTAGTTTATAGCTTATTTTTTTGCCTCACAATTGTATTCTTTTTTTACTGCATCTTTCTCAGACAGTATGACTCATGTTAATGTTTTTGTGGCATGTGCTGTTTTTGCATCTTTTGCTTTCTGCTTTATTATACTTTTTTCCAGGGACTTCGTTACTTTATATGTACACCAGTAATTTCTTAAAATGTAACACATACTGCTATAAAAATACCTATATTTTTAATAATAGAAATGAGAGTGGTTTTTCTTCAACCACTTTGGGTAGCAAATCCACAATGACATAAATAGATGCTGCAGCTGTCTTTTCTTAATACACAGTGTGCCACTTTAAATTGTGTATAATTTCGCAGAATGGTTTTGTTAGCATTTTGCTGTTTATTTATCTCTGTTACATATTCATCTTTAATAAAGTAAATATTTTTTAAACATTAGAACTACTTAGTAAAATATGAAAATGTATTAAATTTTTGTGTAACAGTAAACGATGGCAGTGTGTCATCTGAACTTGAGCATGAAATATACTTAATATTTTTGTTTTCTTTTTAGAGAATGTGTAAGTAGTGCCTTGTGCATTCCATTGGCAAGTCAAAAGAGGTAAGAATAGACGGACTTTCCTGTGTGCCATCTTCTGCTTTCAGATAATTTCATTTCTTTTAAAATCAGTGGAATGTATTTGTATGTCTCTGAAGCTAGGACTTGATCTTTCTCTTAAATATTTGTTTTTATCTTTGAATGGGACAGGAGCTCCACGGGCCGTCCTGATTGGACTTGCATTGTGGTAGGCTTCACTTCTGGCTACGTTCGTTTCTACACTGAGGTGAGTCTTTGTTTCTCAGCATTGAGCAGCTGTAAAGTAATGATGTATTGCTGCACCTTGTAAAATTTTCTTCTTTCAGTGCTTGTCCATTTGCACATTCTTGGTGTAGGTGTACATATGTCTCGAGTGCCAAAGTTGTTTGCAAAGATTTTGTCCTAAAACTGGCCATATAGAGTGCATGTGTCCCACCTCTCTTCATGTTCTGTGCCAAAATTGTGAAGCTCAGTGAATGTTTTCAGCTGCTTTGTTCCTCTCAACTATGTTGTGTGAGTGTCTACAGTCTGTTCAAACTCTGCTCAGCTTACAGCTCTTCTAAAAGCCTTCTGCTATTGGGTTTTTTTTGTTTGGTCTTCCATTCTTCTTTCCTGGAGAATTGCTCTATCACTACTTTTTCTTTGCCCGCTCCCTTTTTTCACTTTGGTTTCTGATTCTTTGGTTAAATCTCAGGTGTCCTCTAGGTGGTGCTGTCTGCTGCTTCAACTATATGAGGCTGTATTTTACCCCCATATTAAACTGATCATTTTGTAATTTTATTTTCCTTTTCAGTATACTTTTTTCACTTGAATGTTGTCATGGTTCTCTGAGATTTCGGCTCTGTCCATCCTGCAGTGGAGCAAAATGCCTGCTATGGATGGATGTAACAACTGCCTCTTTTTGTGGTGTCCCATGTTTCTAGGAAGTGTTCCATTTGTAAGTCTCCCAGGTTAGAAAGAAGTGCAAGGCCAGGCTCTATGTTTGATTCCTTGGGAAAGTTCAGGGGGTTAGTTTCTGTTCTGGGAGCACAAAATACAAAGAATGTCCAGAACCTCAGAGCAAGTCTCCTGTTTCCTTCCTGGCATTTGACCCAGTTGTATCTTTCTCTGACTTCCCATTGTGGCCATTATGGCCCTTGTCTTTTCATCTATGGACTGACTCTGGGTACAGGTAATACTGACCAGGCTTCCATTCTTCAGCCTCAACTGTGCAAATGCTTTCTACATAATCTTTGGGTCTTCTCCTCAGTTTGGGAGGACTCCAAGGATCTGGCTTCTATGACAAAGGTGGTACCTGACAACAGTTTGCTCTCTTCTTCCTCACCAAATGCACCTGGCCCTTATCATTTTCAATAGATGATTTTAGAGCAGGGGTGCTCAACTTCCAGATGTGGCCCATTGATTTGGCATTCAGCCTGCAGGGATCCCTGTGGGTCAGAAAATTTGGCAGCAGGGGAAGTTCCTCATGGCTGGATCCAGCTCTCCCTGGGCTAATTCTGCACAGTGGGATCGGGGCTCAGCCAAAACTTCCCTCCAGGCTGCCCTAGATGCAGAGAATGCCATCTCCCTTTCTGTGACCGTGGCATATGCATGAGATTTATTTTTCTTCATCCCAGGGCTCTGGTATCCCAAGAGAGGTGCAGAATATGATAGAAAGAATCATGCTCATTAGTTCTAAAACTGATGATATGTTGCATAGCCTTAAAGATTAGAGGACCATCCTTCATTCCCTTGAAGTCTGTACACTTGGCTATAAGAGGAAGCACAGATCTAAATCCTATTCAGAGCAAAGACCATCCCAACAGTCTTTTTTTGTTCTTCCTTCTCTCACGTTCTGTCTGCAGGAGTCCCCAAGAAGTTGCCAGCATCTCAGTAAGTTTTGGCATTCCTCTCTTGTTGCTCCATTGTTTAGTTATAGCAAGTCAGGTTTTGTTTTTTTATACCTGTAAAAGCTTTTCATCAATAATTGAGAGGTGCATCCTGCCTTCCAAGGCTGTCATCCACCTCCCTTCCTTTTCGACAGCTGTGGGTCCTTAACCACTAATGGCTGATCAATCACTTCTCAATACAATTATGGCTAGATTTGCAGAATTGAGTTTGCTGTCCATTCCCAATTCCCCTTCCCTGTCTGTCTTCAGAAGGACGTGTTCATGAGCTGTTGTGACAGGTTTGCCGCCCCCCCGCCCTCCCCCCGTTAGCCTAGTGACAATGGAAGGGGGTTCCTCTGCATCTTAGAAGAATGGGATTTTTTACAGTGGTTACTTGGTTCCTGGGAGGAATGGTGGGTGTGCAGTCCACCTTGGATATAAGAAAGCTCAAGTCTTCTATTTGCAATCTCATGTTCAATGTTTTGTTATTAGCTGCTGTTGCTCAGTCTCTGATGTGAGCCTGCTTAGCATCTGAGTCATCACTTAGCTTCTGTTTCATTAGTGAATTATTACCTATTAAGCATCTGTCTCAGTGGTGAGTCATCAAATTCCCAGAGAAAATAACTGTTTTGTGGTGGGCTGAGAGTGTTTTCAGTACATGGCTCTTTCATTTGTTACAGCTCTTAGGGTCTTCATTTGGCTCATTTCAGTTGTCAGTGGCCTGTCTCAGGAAGACAGAGTTGCAGTGTACTCTTATCTGGATGGTTGGCTGTCTGGTCATCTCTTGGATCACTGTGTACCCAAGTGCAGTCTCAGTTGTGTTGTATATCAATGTGGACCCGAGCATGGGAAGGGCAGGTACAAGCATGCTATATAGTTTCTGCTAAGGGAAAAAGGTTCCAGGCTCAAGGGCTTGAGGTGCCTTTATACCCACTCAGCATTCCAGTTACTGGTAAGTTCTCATTTCTGTGGCCTAATTTCAGTGGCAGATGAATAAATGTTTGCATTCTGTATTCTTTCTCTAGAATGGAGTGTTACTTCTTGCACAGCTTTTAAATGAAGATCCTGTCCTGCAGCTTAAGTGCAGAACGTATGAAATTCCCAGGCATCCTGGAGTCACAGAACAGGTATCGAAGCAAATTATTTCAGAAGAGAAATGATACTGTTCCAGGACATGCCCAGAATTCTTTTCTCCATAAGCCTTGTGTTTTAGCATTTTTAACCAGTGTAAATCTTACAGTAGGAGACCAGGGACTTGTGCTAGACTAGTGGTCAGCAACCTTTTAAGACAGCAGGTTGGATTGACCCCATTTGATTCTGAGGCAGGAAAGCGCTAGAATCAAGCCACTGCCACTGCTTTTCCTATGGGCAGCACAAGGGAAGCACCTACTGCTGCTGCTTTTCCCTGTGGTGGCAGAGGAAAGCAACTGCTGTTGAAGCTGGCCATTCCACTCTCCTCTCTCCCCCACCGTCCTTCATTTATGGGTTGGATTAAATGGCTTTGTGGGCTGGGTTTGGCCCATGGCTTGTAAATTACTGATCCCTGTTCTAGAAAAAGAGTCCTTAAACCAACTAATTATAAAGATGCAGACAGGAGCATACCATGGTGTCTCACATTGTCTGGATTATTTCTAGTCCTGTAAGGTAGAGAGTAACTGAATTACTGTAGCATTCTTGTAAATGAATGCTTCACTTGGTGCCCTTTCCTTTTAATTAAATTTATAAACTTTTACATGCTGCAATAACTTGTGTGTGTTTTTAAACTAAATATGTTAAAAAATATAAATATGACTAGGCATATAAAATTCAATGATAGGATAGAACTCTAAGGGTAATTACAAAATAGCCTTTATATCTAAATAACTTGAATGCTGAGATGTCAGAGAAATTAAGACTCCTTTCCTTATCTGTACCTCATATTCCATTGTGTGAAACCCATTAGAAATTAACTGTTTAAGTGTAACTCTTGTCTTGCATTGTTTATAAAGCTTGTCTTCAGAGGAAAAAGCTAAGCTGTTAAGCTGTTAAGATGCTGAAAAGTGATTGTCTTCCTTACCTCATTTTTAAATAAAGAACGAAGAACTGAGTATCCTGTATCCAGCTGCAATTGTAACTATTGATGGTTTCAGCCTCTTCCAGTCCCTTCGTGCTTGTCGTAATCAGGTGGCAAGAGGTATGTTTTAAGAGAGGCTGCCTATTACTGTGATCTACAATGGTTTTCAAACTTGCAGTCTAACATGGTGGCTTCTTTGTGACATACAGAATAAAGACAAGTTGAGGCTACATGTGATTTGTCAGTTTTATACAAGCTTATATTTCCACGCAGGAAAATACTTGCCAAGGGATGCTTTTTACCTGAAGAGTAGGATTTCCATTGATGAGAGAGCCCATCTGTTTAATTTCAATTCTGTAGGACTTTTTCTTTTAGAGTTGCTAGACTACAAGAAAAGTTGCAGATGCTAATTTTGGTTATAATGAGGAATATCCTCATTAGGATATCCTCAATAGCCTTCTTATATCTTCTATGACAAGACCAACAAAATCTAGCTTCTATTTTAGTGTGTTCAGTAAAAGTATTTTGGCAGCTTTTCAGGTTCTACTCCCTTGTAAATTTATACTTATGAATATTAATGAGGCCTGAGGTGAGCACATTGCTAGAAACACAGGTATACTAATGCATATTCTGTAGGGCTGTGCAAAGCTTCGGTTGCCGATTCGATTCAGCAGAGATTCGGTTTGATTTGGTGGCCAAATCTCCGAATCAAATCAGAGCCCTCCAAATGGTTTTGGAGAGATTCAGAAAGATTCTACAATTTGGACATAAACACAGCTTTAAATGTTTTTTCTACATACCTCAAGGTACCAGGTGGCTCATGAATGCTGTGATGGTGAGGCTGATGGAGCGTCCCACAGGAGCACAAGGGGGGTCTCCAGCGTGCTTGGCAGCAGACTTGGAAGTGGACCAGAAGCACTTCTGGGTCTACCAGGGAGTGCGCTGCTTCCCCCCCGCGCAACTGGGGGGATACCCAGGGTCCCGTTCCCCAACCCCCTGTGCTTGGCAGTGGACCTGGAAGTGGATCCAGACGTGCTTTGGGTCCGCTTCCAGGTTCACCACCAAGTGTGTGCCCCCTCCCCTCGTGCTCCTATGGGACGCTCCATCTGCCCCAGCATCGCAGCGTTTGCAAGCCACACCTGGTACCTTGAGTTATATAGAAAAAACATGTAAAGCTGCGTCTATGTCCAGGTTACTGATTCTCTGAATCGGCATCAAATCTTTGGATTCAGCTGAATCGAATCGGGACAGTGATCGATCCAAATCAAATCAAATTGCTGTCCCTATTCAGTCCAAATCAAATGTGGCCTGTTTCTCATACTCCTAGTATTCTGTGATTTGGGAGCTCTGAATCTACTTACTTGCATTTGGCATGGGCCAGCCTCCACAAACATAGCACAAATACGAACGAGTATGGAACATTATTATTAAATCAAAATTAATAAGGGAAAGCAAATTGCCAAAAGGATTATTTTGGAATTAAAAAAATACAACTGCGTTAGATATTATGATTGTAACTTTTCTGGACAATAACGTTCAAATTCTTATTTTGTTTAGCATATATGTCAAAGTGTTATACAAAAATGTCTTAAAGAGTTGCAGGTTACTCTATGGACTGAGGTCTAATGACCACCAAAAACTTTTAAATTTTCTCCAAATGTATTACTTGCAGCAACATTGACCCATGTTATTGATAGTAAAAAACCAGATGCTCAACCCCAGACCCATGGAGCCATGGTATCTAGTCCATGGGGTCCCCACAGGTCTAGAAATTTGGTGGCAGGGGGTGGGGGCAATTAAGACCTTCACTGTTCCCCTGCTGCCAAATTTCTAAGCTTCTGAAGGCTGGATCAGCCCTAGCCAGGTCAGCCCCACATGGAGGTAATTGGGCCCCCGGCAAGGTGTTGCCACATCCCAAATTGGACCCATTGATCAGATCTGGCCCATTGGGCTGACCTGGCATTGCTTATGTGGCCTGTGGATGAAAAAAGAGCACCACTGGTATAAAATGTTATTGCATTAGCTGACATGTTTTTGCCTATAGTAGTTTTTGAACTAACTGCTATTTTTATTTGTCTCAAAAAAACTTGGCAGCGGCAGCATCAGGCAATGAGAACGTTCAGCCCCCACCATTAGCTTATAAGAAGTGGGGCTTGCAGGATGTGGATGCTATTATTGACCATGCAAGTGTTGGTAAGCGGTACCATTTAACTTCAGGCCTTCAACAGATGAAATAATTTTACCATTTTTATTCTGTTTGAATAAGGGGGTTCCCACAGATGCCAGAGTATTGATATAGGATGATGCTTGAATAAAGAAATCTAGGAGTTATCTGGAGAAGATTAAGGACTTGTGGATGAGTTGAGCCATCACTGAAAGAAACATTTCCTCTTCTGTAGTCTCTTTTATCACTGCACCAGAAGGAAAGAAGATGTAGCATCTTTTTGGGAATCTTTTCCATCTTTGCCTGCCCCCCCCCCCCCCCCTTTTTTTTTTTTTTTCCCCTTATTTTGAGTGAGGCCAGGTCAGATGTAGTCTCCTCCTATATTAGTGGCAAATTACAGGATTGTCTGGTAGAAAGAATAAAGACTAGTAGAAGGTTTGTCTGCAGTAGGTAGTTTGAGGTTCAGATAGTTTATTTCCAGAGAGAATGGTACTGGCCTCCAGTTAGTCTGAGACTCTGGATCTCTGGGAATGGGGGAAGCTTGCTTGTTCTGAAGTCCTCTCAGATGGGTAGATCTTTTGAGGAGGGATATACCTGGCTGATCCACCTGCCTCAAAAGAAAATAGTTGTGAGGAGGAGCAGCTGGATAACCAGTGACATAGATTTCTCAGCTGTTGAATTTTGGGGGTGTGGGTGCATGGCACTACTTCTAGTACCCACCCTATGCTGGTTCTGTGAGGGGCCAGTGATGTGGTTCTCATTATCCAAGCCAGCTATGAAGAGCTTCCTTCTTTAGGATTTCCCTTCTGTCACAGTGACTGTAGAGAGGGAATGGAATCTTAGTCACTACTTAGTCTCTAGTTTCCTTGTTAAAATGCATGATTATCACTTTTTATGTTAATTTTTACAGCTTTATAAAGTAGAGTATAACCCAGATATAGTTTGTAGGCTTAGAATTCTGTAGCTCTTGTGAAGATGAGGGTTTGCAAATTGGTTGGTGGGTATATGCAGTCATTACAAACAGCTGTGATCTGTGCTAGCTGATGGCTGCAATTTTTATTTCAAAGGGAGCTGCTTCTTTGCTCAGCTGTGTTGTACTGCTGAAATGTTTTAGCTGAGGGAAGAAGTGGTACCTTAGTAGTGAAAAGAAAAAAGGCAGCAAGGAGCTGACTACTTCACTTAGAAACCCCACTGTGAATTTAAGCAGGTTGTAAGCCACTTGGATGATCTGGGTTCTGCTGTATTAAAGAAACAGAAGTAAATAAAGTCTCCTCAAGGTTTTTGTAGAATTATGACTGACCAAGAATGTAGAATTTTACAACCTGAAATGCCAAGTAGATCCTTTTCTTTTTTTCTTAATAGGTATCATGACTTTGTCTCCCTTTGATCAAATGAAGACTGCATCCAATATAGGTGGATATAATGCAGCTATAAAGAATAGTCCACCAGCTATGTCTCAGTACATCACTGTTGGGTCCAATCCTTTCACTGGTTTCTTTTTTGCCTTGGAGGTATGTATACAATGTATTATGAAATTAGCTTGATTAATCAATTTGGCTGTATGTATTAATAGCTTTCCCTTTCCATATTGGAGAAAAAAACCTATTTTTGGATAATTCTGCTTTTATCCAAATTTGTGCCGAGTTTTATTTTTCTTCAGCCTTCAGAACTTAGAGGTAATTTGAAGAAAAACTCCTGATGGAATTGGCAGGATCTGTTTGCGAAATATGCCACAGGTTCCTGTCATCCAGGATTTTTAATGCTAAATCAAATGCATTTAATAATAGAAACATTTTTAAAAGTTTATTTTTCTTGCACTTGAGAACTTGTTATCAGTTTACTATTTTTTTAGACTTAATAAAAAGCTTGCGGCATGCATAGTTATGTTGTATAGAGCTGATGACCACCTCTGTTCTCTGTTTCTTTTTTGCTTTAATCGTAACTATTGTAGAAGAAAATTAAAATGATTTTGCTTGTGACCCTTTCACCATGGATTTATGAACTGTGTGTGTGTTGATGAAAAAGGGTGGCTATATATTTGTTTGTTGACGTTCAAAGCTTCCAAAACGGAATGAACTCAAACAAAATGATTAGAAGATGTACACAGTTCTGATTTTGTTCCTCCCCCCCAAAGATATCTGTGGAAAATTTGTACGTGCAGATATCTGTAAGGAGCCAGTACTACATCAGACCAAATAACTCTCCATGAAGCATGAGCATTTTTAACCTCTGTGGTCAGGTAGCATATGAGGCTATCAAGTGTTTGCGGAGGGCTTCTTGAACAGTAAAGTGGGACTTGGAGATGTCAGCATATTATTGTTTTGGAGACAGTGAATTAACAGGCTGCAGAGACTTTTTTTTCTCCCTAGATCCAGGCTCATAAGGCTTCTGTAGCTGAGATTATCTGTAGTTCATTCAGATAGAAAAGCTATTGAAGACTTGTACTAAAAATGAATGTGGATGATGGCAAATTTTGACAGCATACTTATAGACCTTTGCCCAGCACTATATACCTGAGTTAATCTTTACAATTCTGAGTGTTTAGAATTTCAGCATTTGGGTTTATATGGTGCTGTGATTGGATAGATCTTTGTTTAAAAAATTCTGGCATTAACTTGTTTAGGATGTTTTCTTTTCTTCCTTCAGGGTAGCACACAGCCACTATTATCTCATGTTGCACTAGCAGTTGCTAGTAAACTGACTTCAGCACTATTCAGTGCTGCCAGGTAAGAAAATATAAAATAATTTTAAGTAGGACTTTGCTTTAGTAGCTAACTTTCAGGATTTTAATTTTATTAATTTGGGGATCTTTTTTATCTGTTGTAAGTGGCTGGCTTGGTTGGAAGAGCAAGCATGAAGAAGAACCTGTGCAAAAACAGAAACCCAAAGTTGAACCTGCTACCCCATTAGCAGTGAGGCAAGTTTAGTTTCTGTATAGTCCTCAGTTGCTTTGAAGCTTTTCCTTGATTGTTTGAATTATTTGTATATCTGTTTAGCTAGTAAATTGGAGCCATTTTTTCTCGTTACCTACTGTAGCAAGGCTTCTTACTATTTGTAGGGTTTTTATTTATCTTTATAATGAAAATTTAAATTCACTTAGTTTACAAATGAAATGAGTTTAATAGTCTCTGGTTGCCAATGTGTGTCCAACTTTGTGCCCCCGCCCCACCCGAAACAAACAAAAAATACCTCTTGCCCAGTTTAGCAGGAAGGAAATCCTTATTTAAGAGGTTAAGCATAAAAGGCCCAAATTTAACATCTGAAGTAGTACAGTAGAGCTTATGAGCAAGCTCATAAATGACTTGCAGCACATAACACTGCAGACATATCTCAAAGTCCTCGCGAAAATGCTTATTGTGTTTTGTTTTACTCTTTTGAGAAATGAGCACAAAGAGATTGTGTCTTGCCCAGTGGTTCAGAGAGAATCAATAGGAAGTTAGGAAATTTGAATGTAGTTTTCCTGATTCCTAGCCCTTCTGCTTTAAACATCAGGCTGTACTGCCAATCAAAGTATGTATGGGTCTGATTAGCAGTGGAGAGGATCCATGAGATCATAGAATCATAGAAGTAGGGTCGGACGGGATCTTGTAGATCTTTAAGTCCGACCCCCTGCCTGGGCAGGAGGAAACTGGGCTCGAGTGACCCCAGCCAGGTAGGCATCGAGCCGCTTCTTAAAGACCCCCAGAGTAGGAGCCAGCACCACTTACCTTGGAAGTTGGTTCCAGATCCTAGCCGTCCTAACTAAAGTAGTTCCTACAGATGTCTAATCTAAACCTACTCTCCAACAACTTGTGGCCGTTATTCCCTGTTATCCCAGGGGGCGCTAGGGTAAACAAGGTCTCCCCCAAACCCTTCTGGTCCCCCCTAGTGAGTTTATAGATGGTCACAAGGTCCCCCCTCAGCCTTCTCTTGTGAAGGCTGAACAGGTTCAGGTCCTGTAGCCTCTCATTGTAGGGTCTGCCCTGCTGTCCCCGGATCATGCGGGTGGCCCTCCTCTGGACCCTCTCCATGTTGTCCACATCCCTCTTGAAGTGGAGTGCTCAGAACTGGACACAGTACTCCAGCTGTGGCCTGACCAGCATCGCGTAGAGAGGGAGGATCACCTCCTTAGCCCTACTTGAGATGCACCTGTGGATGCATGATAGGGTCCGGTTAGCCCTGCTGACCGTGACCTCGCATTGTCGGCCCATGTTCATCTTGGAGTCAGTGATGACTCCAAGATCCCTTTCTGCCTCCGTGCTCTCAAGAAGGGAGTTTCCCATTTTATAAGCATGCTGCCGGTTACTACTGCCCAAGTGCAGCACCCTGCACTTGTCCGTATTGAAATGCATCCTGTTTTTGTTAGCCCACCCCTGCAACCTATCCAGGTCTTTCTGCAGTCTTTCCCTCCCTACTAGCATGCCCACCTCACCCCAAATTTGAACAGGTTGCTTTTCACCCTGTTGTCCAAATCGCTGATAAAGAAATTGAACAGTGCGGGCCCAAGGACCGAGCCCTGGGGGACTCCTCTGCCCACTCCCCCCAGGTCGAATATGACCCTTCAGCCAATTAGCAATCCATCTGACTATAAACATCAATGCTACAGTCGCCTAGTTTTTTAATCATCTCTTGTTGCAAGATGGTTTCATGCCAGTGCACAACAAGGGAAGTTAAGTGCATGCTTAGCCTCCTCTTTGAATTTTACTTATGAACTGAATTCAGTCTTTTGTATTGCCGTTTTCAGTTCTCAGTTTACTGAGACTTTAAAAAAGACAATAGCATGACATTTTAGAATAGCAAAACGATGCATCTGCATTTTTGTCTATTAAAATAACCCTTTATAGTGTCTGAAACATTTTTACTATTTCTGTATAAGTTTGTATATGGAACTGTTCCTAAATTGTATTTTTGTAAATAATAGTGTTTTTTGTGATTTCAGGTTTGGACTTCCAGATTCCCGACGCCACGGTGAAAGCATATGTCTTTCTCCATGTAACACATTGGCCGCAGTAACGGATGACTTTGGAAGAGTTATTTTACTGGATGTTACAAGAGGACTTGCAGTTCGTATGTGGAAAGGTAAACCTATGGTGTATGGCAGTAAAAAGCAAGCTGTTTGTTAGAAACGTTTTAGTTTTATGTTTAATTGACTTAGAACTATGAGTACTTCCATTCGTGTTTTACTTATAATCTGTGAAATTTAGTATACTTTCAGGATGGCAGAGGTGAGGAATTAGTGTGATTATTAGTGACGGTTTAATTAGTAACCTCAGATACTGATGTATACATCATTTTTGCTTGAATTTCCCTTCCCAGGTCCTGCTGCAGTAAGATCTGTTCACTTTGTTACAAAGGGTTTGAGTTATTTTGTTCAATATGCCCCCTGTGTTGTATAGCTCTAGATCTTTTTTTCTCTTTTTCTTTCTTTTTTTTTAATCTGGGGTAAGGAGCAGCAACGTTCTGTTTCCCTACCCTTCACACCACAGAAATGCTGGGAAAGGCAGAAACTTTCACATTGTTGGGCCAGTTAGCTTTCTTTTTGGGTGTTCTGCCTGTTCTCAGGATAGAGTATTTAATCTCATGTTCTTGGGACCGAGTTCTTTTGTAGGAAAGTTTCAGAAATTTCCCTTTTGAGGGTTACAGATCCAATTGTAGCTGGTGCTATAATATGACCAGAATTTCTAGAAGAAAATTTTTTCCAGCTCCCCCATTACACGGACACATGTTTTGTCATAAGGTGTGAGAGATTATTTAGTATGTTGTCTTCTCTTTACTGTCCATAGAGCAAACCCAGAAGTCTTGGAGGCCTTTAACATGGTAGTCCAGAGGCACTAGGCTGTATTCCATGTATATGATTTCTCTTTTTCCCCACTCAGTTGTCTTGGCCCAGAACTGCTGGTTTTCCCACATGACGTGCATAGGAAAGAAGGGTTGTCCTTTCTCCAGACATTCTTTGTAGATGGGAGGAAGAGAAGTCTCAAAGGGGACAATAAAAGGCCAATTTAAGGAATTATAATAATCAGATTTGCAAGTAAAAATTCTTATTTTGTTGATGCATTGGGTACAGGTACAGCTGCTGTGTGAAGGGAACTTCATTGGGACTGGAATGGTGGGGTGTGAAGGAGTCTTCATTTTCACCATCCTTCCAGCTTGCATAGATATCTTGGCAACTATTATAAAATAATGTCTGTAGTATCTTTGTTCCTCCTAGACATTTCCTTCCCCCATAATTATGGGTTTATCTGGTAAACATATTTATGGCTTGGAAGAGAGTTGCTTTCCCATTTTTATCTTGTCTCTGGTATTTTTATGGTATATTTAATATGCTTCCACATTCACTAGATTCCTTTCTTAGTCAAACAAGCATGTTCTATGTAGATAGCAGTTTTGCCTGCCAAGTTTTCCATATTTATAATTAATTGTTTAAATAACTTTACAGCAAAGGGTGATGTGATCCACGCATTCTCTCACTCACAACATCTTCCAAGTTGTGAACTGTTAATAAGTAATTAATGACTGAATGTTTTGTGTGTTCTTACTGGGACCAGCATGGACTTCAGAGATGCCAGCAAATGAAAGCATATATTTAGAACTATAATTTCTCCTAAGTGATTTCATGAATGGCTTAGAAATCTCATCTGAATTCTGCTTCAGTTTTTTAAAACTTATTTTGTAGATCAATTGCTATGTCTCTGTAAGTGGGTTGTCTAGCCTGCTGGCTTCTCATCAGCCAGTCTTCTTGGGTAACACACTTTTTCAGCAGCAAAGAAACAAAAGGCAAACCATTCTGCCCTGTCCAGTCACCTGGACTCTGAAGCAATTGTGTTCACAATTTGCCTCCTCCTCTCCTGCTTTTCTTTCTTGGGAGCTTTTTAAAGCTCCTAGCAGGACATTACCTGCCTATCCAAATGTTTTGCAGCTGGGCTCTCTCAATAGGGTTGACTGTTCCCTCTTAAAGGAACAGACTGCCCTTTTACAGACTCTGAGAAGAGTTTCTTTATATGTATGTATTAATATAATAGAAATCATAGGAAATTAGGGTTGGAAGGGACCTCAAGAGGTCATCTAGTTCTGCTCAAAGCAGGACCTGCCCTAACTAGATCATTCCAGCCAGAACTTTGAGCTGAACCTCCAAGGATGGAACTTCCACAACCTCTCTGGGTAACCCATTCTATTGCCTCACCACCCTCCTCATGAAAGAGTTTTTCCTCATATCTAACCTAAACTTCCCATGCTGCAACTTGAGACAATTGTTCCTTGTTCTGTTATCTGCCACCACTGAGAACAGTCTAGCTCCATCATCTTTGGAACCCTGCTTCGGGTAGTTAAAGGCTGCTTTCAGATCCCGCCTCCCCTCAGTTTTCTCTTCTCCATGCTAAACAAGACCAGTTCCCTCAGCCTCTCCTCAGAAGTCCTGTTCCCCAGCCCCCTCACTATTTTTGTTGTCACCTGCTGAACTCTCTCCAACTTTGTCGACATCCTTTCTCTAATGGGGGGCCCAAATCTGGACATGGTATTCCAGATGTGGCCTCACCAGTGCTGAATAGAGAGGAAGAATCATTTCTCTCAGTCTGCTGCCAATGCTCCTACTGATGCAGCCCAGTATGCTGTTAGCCTTCTTGGCAACAAGGGTGTGCTGCTGACTCGTATTCCGCTTATTGTCCACTGTAACCCCCAGGTCTTTTTCTGTAGAACTGCTGCTTGGATAATTGGTCCCCAGTCTGTACTGGTGCATGGAATTGTTCCATCCTAAGTGCAGGACTTCTCACTTGTCCTTATTGAACCTCATGAGATTTCTTTTGGTCCAGTTCTCCAATATATCAAGGTCTCTCTTAATCCTAGCCCTACCCTCCAGCATATTTACTACTCCTCGCAGCTTGGTGTCGTCTGTGTACTTGCTGAGGGTGTACTCCATTTCATCTTCCAAATCGTTAATGAAGATATTGAACAAAACTGGCCTCAGGACTGACCCCTGGGGCACTCTACTTCATACTGGCTGCCAACTAGACCTCAGACCATTGATCACTATCTGTTGAGCCTGATGATCCAGCCAGCTTTCTATCCACTTTACAATCCGTTCATCCAACCCATACTTCTGTAACTTGCTTGCAAGAATGCTGTGTGAGATTATATCAAAAGCCTTGCTAAAGTCAAGGTATATCACATCCACTGTTTTTCCCACCTCCACGGAGCCAGTCATATCTCAGAAGGCAATCAGGTTTGTCAGGCATGACTTGCCCTTGTTGAATCCAAGCTGACTGTTCCTGATCATTTTCTTCTTCTCCAAGTGCTTAGAAATGAATTCCTTGAGGACCTGCTCCATGAGTTTTCCAGGGCCTGAGGTGAGGCTGACTGGCCTGTAGTTCCTTGCATCCCCCTTCTTCCCTTGCTTAAAAATAGGCACTATATTTGCCCTTTTCCAATAGTCCAGTACCTCCCCCAGTCGCCATGAGTTTTCAAAGATAATGGCCAGCAGCTCTGCAATTGGCTAACTCCCTCAACACCCTCAGATGCATTGCATCGGGCCCCATGGACTTGTATACATCCAGCTTTTCTAAATAATCCCTAACCTATTCTTTCACCACTTGGGGCTGCTCTCCTGAAACTTTGCTGCCTGGTGCAGTAGTGTGCTTGTCTGTGAAGACTGAGGTAAACAAGGCATTGAGTACTCGAGCTTTTTCCTCATCTGTCACTAGGTTGCCTCTCCCATTCAGTAAGGGATGTCATCTGCACTTGCTGAAACCTGTGCACCATTGCAATACTGATGTTACATTTTTCTGTGGTCATAATAGACAGCCCATTTTCTCTATACAGAAAGAGTATGTGGAGAGCAGATACTTAATCCATTTGTTATGAGAGTGAATGTGAGGAAGTGTCTAGATTAGTTGCATTTACTGCAAAAAAACGTTTTTGTTGTCAGAGTAACCATTTTTTGGGGGGGTTTATTTGGGTGGATGGGAGGCTTCCACCAACCACACATTTTTGGGAGCTACATGGGATCCAGAAATTTACAAGGAAATTCCTGTCTTTTTACCTTTGCATAGGTCTCCATACTCCTGCCTAGGTATACTCATCAAAGGTCCTGATCATCTCTTCTGCATATACCATGATCTAGAAGGATCAACAGTTGCCTATTACTATGATCCTTTATTTAAGGAAGTCTGTGGGAGTTTTTCCACAGATTTCATTGGGCACTGAATTAGCTTCAGACCCGGGGGAGGCTGCTTCAGGCCTGATTGTCCTATCCTCAGTGGCTTCCCTGGAATCATTTTATCTTGTTATCTTGAAAAAGCTCTGCAGGTGGTTCGTAAGGAACACTGTTGTGGGCCATGTTTTGTGTTTCAAATCCTTTACAAGAGTCTCCAGAACAATGACCTGATGAGGTTACTTGCCAGCAGTCCTGTTTTGGAAAAAAAAATTAAATTAGCATGCTAATGTAGTAATGTAAGTTGGCTTTGATGTATCTTTGTAACTTAATCCATTTATAAGAATGAATGACTTCTGTCTCTCTTTTTTTTCCCAAAGGCTACCGTGATGCACAGATTGGCTGGATACAGACAGTAGAGGACCTTCATGAACGAGAGACTGAAAAGTTGGATTTTTCTCCCTTTGGGAATGCTCAAGGTCCAAGTAGAGTGGCACAGTTTCTTGTAATCTATGCTCCAAGGAGAGGTATCCTGGAAGTGTGGAGTACTCAGCAAGGACCCCGAGTTGGTGCCTTTAATGTTGGGAAACATTGTCGGTAAGAAAGGCTCACTATGTTGACATATTAGCCAATGCTAGATTGACATCTCAGGCAGCCTCATGCCAGTGTCTACAATGACAAATTTTGGTAGACTTTTTTTTTTAGTTGCTTTTAACACATCTGATACTGGTCCGAAGTGTAGCTTGCTCTTATTTTATAAATAAACATTGCCGTTTTCGTCTTTGCCCCTCTGGTATGCATCATCATGTAATTAGGTGTTTTGATGGTTTTCATTAGTTATGCTGGTGCTGGCTGTGTGAAAGTCTCTCCTTTCATCCTGCATTTAAACAAGGTATGTTGGCAATCTCACTGTTCAGTGTAAAAGCATTATTTGTGTCTCTTTCAGGTTGCTGTACCCTGGGTATAAAATAATGGGTTTAAACAATGTGACCAGTCAGGGTTGGCAGCCTCAGACTTACCAGATCTGTCTTGTCGACCCAGTATCTGGAAGTATGAAAACTATTCATGTACCTTTCCATTTAGCACTCAGGTAAGGCTGACTGAATTCTCTGTAATCAGTCTATAATAACATAAAAAATTCTATACAATTAATTTTGACTAACTTATGCAAAGAAGACTTAGGACTAGAAGGCCAGATGCTGCTATTCTTTATTTTAGTAGATAGTACATTAATCCCTGAGTAGTCTCAGTATAAAGTAAGGTGCTACTCATTGTGAGTAAAGTAAAATAAAATATATAAATATTTTTGTATGACTTCGTTACAACAGCTTAGAGCAGCTACTTTATATATTCACACCAGAGATAGAAGAAAATGATTTTCTCAAGAGAATATAATGTTAAGAAAGAAAAATATAATTACTAGAACTTTTAAATTGTGTTTTTATTGTACGTTTAAAAACGAAACTTTTTTTCCAGTGATAAAAAGAGTGAGCGAGCAAAGGATATGCATCTAGTGAAGAAAATAAGCGCTTTACTCAAAGCTAAAACCACAAATCTGGGTAGGTTTTTCCTAAACGTTTGCATTTTCTTAGCGCCTCATTTACTGACTTGGACAATATCCACTCTTTATTGTATATGGCATATGTGAATTGTGGGCAGCTAACACCTCGTGCCATTTTAGTGTCTGTTAGTCTTAAGTGAAGTCTTGAGGTTGCATTTTAAAAGGTGACAATCAGATTAGAATAGTGCTGAGTACTCTAAATAGGGTAAGAACCTTGAGTGCACTTGTTGCATTCTCTTTTTCTAACCTGTAAAGTCTAGACAAGTACAATTTAGTCTGGTGGGGATGTCCAACTCGCTTCTGATTTCCACTGATGACTTATCATGGGATACAAGATATCTTTTTTTTCTTGGTTTCTGAGATATTTGTTTAATACTAGCTAACCAGTACCAATCCCACCCCAAAATTTTAAGAAGTGTACTACATCTTGGGAAGAGACAGGTGGCAGACTTTTGAAGCTACCTGGAGAAAATTCTTATAACTATGGTGCTCCCAGCAAAGTGCACTTTAGGTCAACAGCTAACCTAAATTGATTTTCCCTACCCTGCAAAACAGTATTAAAAGAGAGTTTTCAGTGTGCTGCATGTCCTTATCTGGATTTTTTGGGTCTGTTCAGCACTTAATTCTGAAGTTAAACTTTAGTTGTTTGTACAGTTAGACAAACACTCAGTTGCTGAGTTTTCCAAATGTATGATGTCAGCTCCTCCAAGCATATCACACCAAACAATTAAAAGTATGCATCTTAACTGCATGAATTGCTTTTTAGAATCCAGTCTTAAAATGTGAGTTAAACATTTGATCATCTTTCTTTGTAGAGTTGATTGAAGCTGAAGCAAAGGAATTAATTCTTGATATCAAATACCCAGCTACAAAAAAACAGGTGAATGTTCTGAGAATGGGACTTTCATACTGGGAAAGAATTTCATATACAAATCTTTTATAAACCTTTCACAATATTCTTAATTTTTTCCTAGATCGCTGATTAGCAAAGCTTAAGGACTTGTGTTGTATGTTTGCTTCATTTTTTCTGTAACATACCACGTAAAATTAATGAAGTAGTTTTGTGACTTCAAAATCCCTTCCATGGTAAAATTGAGATAGGTGTATAAACCTATCAATAAAAGAGCTGTCCTCATTGCAGGTTCAAATTTTTCCAAATATGTATAAAAACAAGTAGTTACAGATTCCTTGCATGCTTTTAGAACTAAAGTGAAATAGAATGGAAAAATTTCATTGTTAAATTTCTGTTAATAGGCTTTAGAAAAAATACTGGCAAGTGAACGTGTGCCATTCTCATCTCTCACAAACATTACCCAGACATTGATGGACACCTTAAAAAATCAAGGTAGGTACAAGTTTATTTTGTAAAGATATCAGTTGTATCCATGTTAAGGCATTGAAGCTGGGCTACTGCTATGATGGAGCTATCTGTGGGATACCACTCCCTCAAAATTCAACTGGTTGGTTTTTCTGCCAAGTAATTCTGGCATTGATTCCAACTTCCCCAGTAGTTTTTCAGTTTAAATTGCTTCACTTGCCATACATCTCAAAATACACGCTGAAATAATTCTCACTTGAAATCCATGAGTAATGAAGTTGATGCTTTATGTATATAAAGACAATAATATAAACTAGCTTCATACAAATGCAAATAAAAATTAATATATCTAGGTACAAACATTTATATCCAGTGTGTTCCTACAATGTCTTGCCAGTAATTAAATTGTATATACAGTTACGGTCTTTTCACTAGCTCATTACTTTGTATGTATGAGTACTTTGTATGTTTAAATCAGCTATACTCAGTTTCTGCCTCTGTGCAGTAGTAGTGTTGCACAGAACAGGACCCTTGGCATTATCGTTCATAGCAGATTACTGAATGAAGTGAATAAACAAAATTTGTTCGTGGATATCAGAATGCTTGTGCATAGAAAGCACTGTTCTTTGCCCTACATAAGTGAAGGAAGCCCTATATGATGCAGCGTTCTGTCACTTGAGCTCCTCGTGATGAAATCCTTGCCCACTCATGTCAATAGGAGTTTTCCCTTTTTTTTTTTTTATTCTTTAACAGAAGTACACTTCACCCGTGGGGTTTACTGTCTAATTTTGGCCTGTTCTTAGGGGAGAAGAATCTAGTTTTTAAATAGCTGTAGGAAGTGCTAAAATATAGGCTATTACAAGAAGCTATTTTCACAGAGAACAGTAGAATGGCAATGCTTACAGAATTGGAAAAGCATGTTTATTTTTGTTATATATTAATTGATTTTTCTTTGTAATCTGAAGTGTGTGTTTTTTCTGCACACCTTCTTTTTCCATACATGACTATGTCATGCTGGTCACAAAATAAAACAGATTTGGTTGGAGTGCCCACCTTCTAATTTTTCAAGAATAGCAACATATCTGCAGGTGACACTATGGGTAAATAGATTTAGTGAACAGATGTTGGCCTATGTGAATGCTGTTGTTGTGGGAAAAAGGTCAATTGATATCTGTAGCAAGCTGCACAGGGCTTCTTTGTTTCCAGGATTTTTAATAGCAGAGTGTTAAAGAGGTGGCTGAGCTTCATAGAGGGAAAATTGTATGCTGGAAAGCTCTTTGAGCTCACATGTTCACAGATTATTCAGAGATGATGTTTTGTATAGGAACATCTTATTTACAATCTTTCTCAATGCCACGTGCATTTATTAATGTCACTAAAGAGGCAGGTGCATTATATGTTTACAGTGGCATTATCTACCCTTACTTGGATGTGAAACTGGAATGGCCACAAGATGTACGGTCTTAAAGTGGTGTAAGTCACTGTGCAAAAGAACCCTAGTAACTTTGTACCACTGTAAGTCACACTGGTGTCTGTCTTGTATCCTAAGCTCTACTTAATTGCAACTAACAGACCCATTTTTAAAGCTATTACCTGTTCCCTTGTTGCCTAGTGGCCCAGCACAGTAATGGCAACCAACAGTTTGCTACTCTAGGATAAGGCTGTTACACATTCCTACTGTCCTGGGGATACAAAATTTGCTTTAAATAGTGAATATAGGTACTCCTCACTTAACGTTGTCCCGGTTACCATGTTGTTATGTTGCTGATCTATTAGAGAACATACTCGTTTAAAGTCATGCAATGTTCGATCATAACGTTTTTTGGCTGCCTGCTAGTAGGTAACTACTGCGATATAATTGGATTTGCTTAACATTGCTTTACTTAAAGTTGCATTTTTCAAGAACATAATAACTACAATGTTAAGCAAGGAGTAGCTGTAACTACTTTTGTTCCTAAAGAGTTAGCTTGCTTTCCTTTATATGGAGTTGGAAATTAAACATACCAAATGATTTTGTTGTTGTTGCCTAATTTCATTTCTTGAATTCAGTATCTGATAAATAGGTGGAAGGAAAAGCAACTGAGTAGGGGGCCATGAACAGGTTACCATGTTTTAAGATGGGGTGTTAACTTGCACTGTCAGCTATTTCACAGTAACTGTCCATGAACTCATTCACTTTGGTTAATGTGAAGTAGCCTTGCCTTCTTTGATTTAGTAATGTAAGAGAGGTATGCATGTAGACAGTTACTAAGGGTGTGCTGTGAGTTTGTGCCCTAGTTTACATGGTGGTATCTTGTTTGTGGTTCTCTACATTTTGAGTAGTAGTTATGCAGTCTAGAAAAGCTCCTAATTGCAAAGTGTTGGCTACTATTTTAGACATTTTTGTGTCTGATTGCTTGTGTGTGTGTTAAAATGGCATATTACGAGGTCCTTAATTATTAGGTTCTTGTTTCTTTGACAGTCTGCATTACCCAATTAACTGAAATTGTCTTCCTTAGGCAAAATGGAAAAAATCAAATCTTTCAGCTTGCATTAGACTTTTTTTTTTTTTGCACTAAGTATGAGGATACTCTTGACTTTGTTTGATAGAGAGACCTGGAGTGCTTTCTTTCATTCTGAACCCTGTGGTAATGACAATTGGTGACCCCACAACACAGTCAGACTTTGCTTTCCTAAACTTTGTAGAATTCAAATGCAACAGGAGGTCTTCTGATTTCTCAGAGTTGTTCATTTGCACATTTGATCTTGGTAGCTTGTATATTTAACTTTCTAGTGAGGGACTTGACATGTTTATACATTGATAATATGACTGAGAGACTACAACTGTTACAACATTGTATCTTCTTGTCTTGTATTAAAAAACATAATTGCTTGATAATTACAATTATAGCATTTGTATCATAGTGGGTTTTTTTATTTTTATATGCACTGGTTTTAAACCAGGAGAGGTCCTCTGTAGTAACCTTGTGTTTTGGTGTTGCGATATAAAACTTATCAAAAATGAACCTGATACTTTATGTGCCTTGGGGCAAGATCATTGGTACAAATTAAATATCATCTTAATGGAAACAGCAGAGCATCAAGAATATTACTCCATGACATGCGTCACTTCACTCCTACAAAGGATTTTAATGAAGCTGCAAAGAAGATTTCACAATTTCAGTGCATTTGTGTGTGGGTCTCTCTCTCTCTCTCTCTCTCTCTCTCTCTCTCTCTCTCTCTCTCTCCTTTCCCCCCCCCGCCCCTCCCCTTGTATTGAAATATACATATAAAAATATTCATTCAGATTCATGTGCTTTTCCCCAGAACTTGAGTCTGTGGATGAAGGCTTGCTGCAGTTTTGCTCAAACAAGTTAAAACTCCTTCATCTTTATGAGTCGGTCAGCAAACTGAATTCTCTGAGTCTGCAGTCAGAGACTCCGATTTCTGATAACGTGAGTGATTTCAAATTTTTTTAATTTCAAGTACAGTATGTTGAAATTAGCATTTAGACTCTTCTGAAACTTTTTCCCCCTGTCTTTGGCTGATGCATTTTGTGGATTGGAATCTTTGTTAATGTACATTTTTATTGTCTTTCTGCTTTTTAAGGACTTGGCTAAATTACTCAGGCTAGATGAAAAAGAGTTTGTTAGGTTCCAGACATTATTGGAAAACTACAAACAAGAGAACACCCAACCAACTGTTCGATTTGCTGAGGATAAAGATAGCGTGTTGTCTGTAAAAATGTTCTTGGAGTATTTAGAATATGAAAAGGACATGATTAACGTGAAGAAGCTGGATGAAGGAGAGTATGTGGCTTTAGGTAAGAACTGTTGAAGGTCTAATGTTTTCCAGGGTAATTTTTGAGTTATTGCAGCCCTAAAATAGACTATCTTTTCTTTTAGCTTAACTTTTGAATTTCCCAAATCCATGTACCAGATACCAACTAACCAGGTTGGATTCTGAAATAAAGGAAATAATAACAAAGAAGGGCTTGTACTTAGCTGTACTTTGAAATGATAGGCCAAGTAGGGCTGAGTACAAGAACGAATACTTTGTCCCTGTCCTCTGAAAACATCTCCTTACCAAATTACTTCTTTGGCATGAGTCTTCTAATTGCTCAGAAAAAGGTTTATGAACTGGTTAATTCTATGTAAATATTCCCTTCCTCCACCTGGGAAGGATGAAGTGTTATATAATCCATTGTTAACCTAAAGCCTTCTGTCTCAGGCTGTGCAAAACCTGATCTACCACATAGACCTTTCATTGATATTGTTTCTGTTGATTGTTTTAGGTAGCTTGTTTTTCTGGAAATGTTTGCATGGAGAGAGTTCTACAAAGGAAATGTGCCATACACTGGAATCAGCAGGATTTAGTCCTCAGGTTTTGCTGGTAAGAATAATGTTCTCTGTGTTTTTCCTCAAGAATTTCAATGTCAGAGAAATTTCATTTGTTGATCACTCTATATAACAGTATTGTCTTGGCTTGTAAGAGCATGTCAACACAGCACAGTGTAATATGTCTAATTAAGTGGCATGGCTTTATTTGTTTTTATCTGAGAGAGCTTTCCTAGAGCCAGCTAGGGTATCTGTCATAGTCTTGCTTTGTGCTGTATGGCTGTACCCTTAATGCCCTTGCCTTCAAACCTTAGGATATTCCTGTTTAAGTTAGCAGCACTTTTTTGAGAGCATTTGTGTAATCATGTTTTACACCAAAAAGGATATAACTCAGAATAACACAGAGGGGTTGTTTTTAAATCTTATTAAACATGTTAGCAATCTAATTACTGTCTAACAGGAACACTCACTTGGGGCCATGGATCTGGACTACAGGGCTCTTCACAGACTGGATTGAGCCTGGGGCACGGAGGTGGCTGTCATGGCCACTGCTGTGGCAGTGGACCTGGGGGAAGTGACAGGTCTTCTGGCAGCAGGAAGGGTCTGGTGGTAGTAATGGGTCTGAGAGAAGGGTTTGGAGACTGCAGTGGTGAGCCAAGCTCACCACTACTGGCTATGACCAACACAGCCCAAGAGCTCTGAATTTTGCATCAGACCATGTCCCCCAACTTCCAGTGGTACTCTGTCCAGCCCACGTGACTACCAGAGGATCTCTGCCAGGGTCGCCAGCTGTCTGTAAAAATACATTAAAAAAATGGAGCTGTCCATTTAAAAAAAAAAAAAAAAAAAAAAAGAAGACGACAAAGAAAGAAAATTAAAACCAGGAATTTGATTGTTAGAAAGCAGAGCAGCGACATTGGTGTCTGAGCAGGAGTGCAGCACCTTGCCGGGAGTGTTTGTTTTCTCTTGGGACTTTGTAGTCCCGTCCTCCATGAGCCATGTGCTGCTGCTGCTTCCCATTGCTTGCCTGTAACACTCCTGGGTCATGGGTAGGCAGAAAGTAACCCTTCTTTTGGGGGAGCAGGGCTGATGAGCGTAGGGCTGGGAGACAGTGTGGTGTGGGGTGTGATTGGGGGCATCAGGGTGTGGGGTGGGGACAGCACAGTATAAAATCATTGCTGCAGACAAGCAGGGTGTCAACCCAAGATTTTTTTTTTTAAACTAATAATTTGTAAACAACTGACAACCACATTTTTCACTATACTGGTATGGTGTTTAACCCCTAAATTTGAAGCTGGCCCTTGTCCAGAGCCGAGAAAAGGGGTTACATTTTCATTATGTAAAACATAAGTCAGTTTTAAAAAAAAAAAAAAGTCTCGTCAGCAAAAAGTTTGCAGATTGTTGTTAAAAAAAAATAAAAAAATCTGTCTTTGGATATGAATAGACATTGCCAAATGAAGCAAATGAGCAATGTTTGCACGTGTCCCTGAACAGCTGGTCTACCTTATTAGGCAAAATACACATCACCCATTGATCCTGCAGGGTAACAGGTATCATGTTTCCCCCTTTGCTGAGACTGGCCATCAGCTAATGGGCAGTCCTAGCAGTGGGGCTACACCAGTGTGTTGACATGCTTAGGGAATTGCAAATGAGGGAACCCAGGCAGGTGCTCTGGGGGCTTCAGGGGCTGAATCCTGCACGCCCTTGAGTACATTTTACACTGTAATAATTCCTATTCCCATGGCATACAGGTTTTGGTCCATAAAGCCCCAGAAGTGCTTGCCTGAGCTGGCAGGTGGCCATAAACCTAAAAGACATTTGCTGCAATTAAGTGGCATAAATTGATACCACCTACATCAGCCACAAATTTGGCCATTTATGGCATGACGGGGTATGGACATCGGTTTACTTGTGTTGCCATAAGAATTGTTATGGTGACACAAATGCACGGTCTCTTTTCACCCTTGGGTTGGTCACGCTGAGCTCTGCAGGTCGTAAGTTCTAAGGCCTTGACCTAATTTATATGAATGGGGAGTGTAGGAGCCCTCTGATAAACGTTTCCGTCATGTCTCTCCTGCTATGAAAAGTAGCATACATATGCCAAGAGCCAGGCTGCCAGCAGCCAGATGCAGATATGCACCTCTGATACCCCCGCTTCGGGTCCAACTCTGCTCCCTCCCTCCTTTTGGGTCTGACCCTGCTCCCCCTCCCCCAGTTTAAATTCACCCGCTTTAAATGCAGCTTATACAATGCTAGCAAAAATGCTTTTCTGAGACAACAGTGTCAGCATAGAAATATTGCTGAAACGTCAGTCTGTAATAGACATTGTTATACCAGCAAAGTTCTTGTATAGACCAGGTCTCAATGTTCTGAGGGATTTAATGCCAGGCTGTATCTTAGGCAATACATTCTACACCTTTAAAAAAAACAGGTTTGTAATGGATCAGTACATATAATTATCTAGGCAAAGGCAAAATGAGAAGGAACATAATCTATAGCTCCCAATGTCTGCCTTAGTCCACTTTTCAGGGGGTTTTTTGCTGTGTGCATTTATACTCAGCAAGCGTTCCATTCACGTAGCCTTTGTGAACCCCCCCGACTTGAGTATAACATTCTACCTTCATAAAATCATACTGCTAAACATACAGCAGTTTGCCATAATCTTTATAATAATTTTGGTCTAGGCATAATGCGTTTTTCCTCTCCAGTAGGCAAGCTCTATGTTGAAAAAATAACATTAAATGAGCTGTAAGTACATTTTCTTCCATCTTTAAATAGTTAACTTATATATAAGTACATAAGGGGCATGCATCAGGATCTGGGGGAATGTCTGCTCACCAGAGTGCCCCAAAGGAAGACGAGGACCAATGGTCACAAACTCCTCCAAGACTGTTTTAGGCTGGATGTAAGGAAAAACTTCTTTACTGTCCGAGCTCCCAAGGCCTGGAATAGGCTCCCTCCAGAGGTGGTGCAAGCATCTACTCTGGACAGCTTTAAGAAGCATTTGGACACTTATCCTGCTGTGATCCTGTGACCTTACCTGACTTCCAGCCCCTGGGGCAGGAGGCTGGACTCGATGATCTCCCGAGGTCCCTTCCAGCCCGAATGTCTATGAAATCTATGAACTTTTTTTTTCTTTTCCAGTCTCTGCTACTCACTTTGTGGCTTTCCAAGGAAAAGGATATTCTAGATCAACCGCAGTCTGTCTGGTGCCTTCACACTATGTTGTCCCTTTTGAGCAAAATGAAAGGTGAAGTATTTTTTCATTTAATGTCATTTTTAGATGCAGTTGATTGCTGGAATAGTCACAATAGCAATTTCTGTATTTGTTTAACAAATTTGTGCAATACATACTGCACATGAGCATGTTTTTATAATTGTTTTATAACGCAATTTATTGACAAACCAATTATTTATATTTTAATAGCTTGATAGAACATATATATGCTAATTGTTTGTCACTTAATGTCCAGAAAGCTGAGCATTTTGTGTTTCATAGGTAGAACACTTGAGACTTAAGGACCTTGGTTCAAGTGTCAACTTGTAGCACTTGTGTGATGCATTTCTTTTTAAAAAAAACCTATTTTCTTAGATTATTTTGAATTAACACCATCCCTTTTTTATTCTTTCTACAGCCACTATCCTAGCTTCTGAGAAGAAGGCCCCTATAGTATAGCTTGTGTTCAAAAACAGTTTTTGAACACAAGCCCTGGGGTAGGGTTTTAAGACCTGCCTTCTGCCCCTTATCTTAACTTCCTATAGTGCCCCAAGGCTGGCTTCTGTTTTTTTGATCCAAAACACATTTAACATAAAATTGTATGAACAGTGCTTGGAGCAGGGATCAGAACCCATAGCAACTGTCTCCCAGGAGAAGGCCCCCACTAACTAGTTATCCATTTCAAAATCAGGCCTTTTCTTGTTCTCCCTCTTCCTGGCTCTGAATTTTTCCATCTGTTTTTTATGCCGTGTCAGTAGAAAAATCTGAGGATGCCTCAACCCAACCTTACTGTAGCTTGGTTAAGTAGGGCACTTCCCTGTAAAGTGGGGGTTGTAGGTTTGAATTTCCTTTGGTTGGTGAGTGCTTCAAACCCTAATATCTCACCTCCTCGGCAGGTGCTCTAACCATAAGGCCAGTATGTAAAAGGTGGGTATGCTGAAGAAAGAGCAGTTATAACTGTATTTGGAGACCCTGTGCTGTTAGAAAATTTTACCAGATGAGGCTCCTTGGGGGACTTGGGTCTTGGATCACAGTGGGGCATAGGCAGGAGTTAGGTGCTGGGCTGCATGTTCTGGGGACAAATAAAAGGTAGAATCGTTAGATACCTAGGGATACTTTAGAGTAAAAGGGGAAGGTACCCAGGCTCCTCCAGGGATAGGCTGCTACTGAGTAGAGATGTTTTGGATCCCAAGCGGACTTTAGGCACCTGCTTTCAAAAGTAAGTACCCTTTTAGGTACTAAATCCTATTAAGGATCTGGGTATAAATGCCAAGGGAAAGGTAACGTGGCTATGGTAGAATAACTATATTTGTTCCAGACAGTTGCTATATTTAATCAGCTTGTGAATTTTAATTGCAGAAGGTAAATTCTGTTTCCAGGAGCAGGTTGTTACTCTTCTAGTTTAGCTCCTAACACAGCAAGTATTTTCTATTCTCCCCCCAATTTGTTTTTTGCAGTTGCTATAGATGAGTCATGGGATTCTCAGTCAATTTCCCCCTGGTGGCAGCAAATGCGCACAGCTTGTATTCAGTCTGAAAATAATGGAGCTGCCTTATTATCTGCACACGTTGGGCATGCTGTAACTGCACAGATAACTGACAGTGTGGCAGAGAAAAAAGTAAGTCATCTTGGATTTCTTCCTTTTCCAGTAGTAATGGTTTCAAATTTGTGTCAAAGCTGTTGTCTTCTTGAAGGAGGAACATGCTCCCATTCATTCAGAAACGGGCACAAAACAGGCATAGAAATGAACAAAAGTGTGAACATTTGTATTTTACTGTATTTACTTGACTATAAGGGGACCCCAAATACAAAGCGGCCCTCCCAATAATTAGGTTCTATATATGGAAAATGTATTAATTTGTTTTAATTGTCCAGGTATAGGATCTAATTATTGGAGACTTGCCTTGAATTTGTCCCCCTCTCCCTATTACAGAAAGGAAAATAAATCTGGGAGTCAGGTAGCCCCTTTGCCTTCTACCCCTCCCAAAACTTCTTCCTCCTGCAGCCCATCCCCTCCCCTCCGTATTGTCAGACCCTACTGTCCCTGAGCACGTGGGAGCAATGGGCAAATTTGAAAACACTGCCCTTAAAATAAACATACCTGTAGTAATTTGCATATAGGAAAATTACTTTGGTTACCTATAGACTTGGTTCATCCAGAATTAATGCATTTTACCTTTTTTGATACTGCTGCATAAGGTTCTCCATAAACACACTTTTAAGCAGCACTTCTGTACCTACTTATATGTAGTACAAACTATGCATGGTATTAATGCAAGGCCAAAAATCTCATGATTTGCCTTATAGTTCATTGTGCTGGGCCCCAGCAGTCTGCAGTATTTTAAGCCATGCCCCACAGCTCAGCACTGCTCAGTATGCGTGTGTACTCCAGATACCCACCCCCCCATCCATGTGCTAATTAGCACCCCCCATGACTAGAACCAAGTGTTTTTGTCACAAGTCCTGGGATCTTCCACAGGCAAAGGTGGTGTTTTTGTTCACATCTTATGAAAGTGCTTTTATTTTAACAAAATGTATAAGGTTTCGAAGGCTTTCGACACTGTCTCTCACCCCGTTCTCATTAGGAAACTGGGGGACTGTGGCGTAGACACCCACACAGTCCAATGGGTCGCCAACTGGCTAGAGAGCCGCGCCCAGAGGGTGGTAGTGGATGGGTCCTTCTCGGCCTGGAAGGACGTGGGCAGTGGGGTCCCGCAGGGCTCGGTGCTCGGCCCCGCCCTGTTCAACATCTTCATCAGTGATTTGGATGAGGGGGTGCAAAGCACCCTGTTCAAATTTGCTGATGACACCAAGATGTGGGGGGATGTGGGCACAATAGAAGGGAGCAACAGGCTACAGTCGGACCTTGACAGGTTACAAGGATGGGCGGAGGAGAACAGGATGGGGTTCAACACAGACAAGTGCAAGGTGATGCACCTGGGGAGGAACAACCAGCACCATACCTACAGGCTGGGGAACTCCCCTCTTGTCAGCACGGAGGTGGAAAAGGATCTTGGAGTCATTATTGACTCCAAGATGAACATGGCTCGGCAGTGTGGGGAGGCG